AAAGGGAATCCTTCAGTTAGAGAACCAGCAACATCAGACAACAACCTGAATCCAGCCCAGAAGACAGCCTCAGCCGCATACCAACCTAGACAATGAACTCTCATGGATAAAACAAAACTAAAAGATTTACAACAGGAAACCAGAGACATCAATCGGTAAATGACAACATCAGAACAATAAAAGAGGGAAAAAACGGTGTAGGTATAGAACTTTCAAATGGAGAGGAAGTCAAGTTGTTATTGAGTAATAAAAGACTGATTTAAACTTAGGAAGATAGAGGTAAATTTCAAGAACCACAAAGAAAGTTAACAAACCTACTCATCAAAATAAAGAAGAAAAACAAGACTCAGTAAACACAGAATCCACAATACTGAAAGAAACAAAAAGAAATTTCACAAACAAAATTAATTCAGCACAGGAGAGTAAGAGGAACAAAGAAAATATCAGCACCACAAAAAAAAGCACTACAAAATGACAGCAATAAACTCACACCTATCAATAATCACGCTGAAAGTAAATAGCTTAAATGCACCCATAAAGAGACAGAGAGTGACAGAATGGATAAAAAAACAATATGCTGTTTACAAGAGACATACCTTAGAAACAAAGACAAGTTTATTAAGAATCAAAGGATGGAAAAAAATATATCAAGCAAACGGCCACCAAAAAAGAGCAAGAGTGGCAATACTAAATCTCAGATAAAATATACTTTAAAACAAAATCCACCATAAAAGACAAAGAATGGCATTATATAATGATTAAAGGGGCAATCCACCACGAAGATGTAACCATAATAAATATATATGCACCCAAAGATGGAGCTCAAATACATAAAACACCCAAATACATAAACTCTAACAGCACTGAAAAGAGAAATTGATAGTTCCACAGTAATAGTAAGAAGCTTCAACACACCACTCTCAGTGAAGGACAGAACATCTAGGAAGAAACTCTAAATAAAGATACAGAAGACCTAAAGGGCACAATAAGCCAACTTGACCTCATAGATATATATAGAACACTCCACACAACAGCAGCAAAGTACGCATTATTTTCCAATGCACATGGAACATTCTCCAGAATAGACCACATCTTAGGCCACAAAGCAACCCTCAAAAAATCCAAAACATTGAGATAATACAAAGCATCTTCTCTGATCACAATGCCATCAAAGTAAAAATTAACAACAGGAAGACCAAGGAAAAAATATCAAATACATGGAAACTGAATAACACCCTGCTTAAAAATCATTGGGTAATAGAAGAAATCAAAGATGGAATCAAAAAACTTCCTAGAATCAAACGAGAATGAAAACACATCATACCAAAACCTTTGACACAGCAAAGGCAGCACTCAGAGGTCAGTTTATAGCAATAGAGGCACACATCAAAAAAGAAGAAAGGAACAAAATCAAACAATTAGCTACACAACTCCAACAAATAGAAAGAGAACAGCAAAAGAAGCCC